GCGGCCGGGCCAGGCGGGGAGCAGAGGCGAGGAGCAGAGGCGAGCGGGCTCCCACGGCAGCTGCCCGGGTTTTCCTGCCTCCGCCTGTGCTGCGGGTGGAGCCTGCCAGCAAGGACAGCACAAAAGCCACCGCGGCCACCGCCGCAGCCAGAGCCAGCGGCTCCCTCCCCGCCAGGGTCCTGCACAGAGGGTTTGTGCCTACGGGATGTGGTCCGACTCCTTTTGGGCCTATTTGGCTGGAGGATTTCTCAGCCAGCCTGACTAATGCAGCCAAGACAAAGGTTGGCTGCAAGGAAGCCTGCTCTTGGTAGAGCGTGCGGCCTCTGCCTGCGTGTCTGAAAGTTAAAGGGTCCAAAGAGCTCCCAAAAAGCCGGGTCCAAACTTAACCCCCAGACCCTAATCCTGGCTGGGGTGGATCTGCCTGCCCACGGTGCAGCGCTCTCTCTATTGTCTAGCACAGGCTCTTTTGGAGCCCCATCCCCTGGATGAGGCAGCGGATGTATTCTGGACCTTATGGCAATCCTTTGATGAAAGCCTTTTTGATTTTGATGAAAACATTGATGTAAGTCCAAAATAAAGAAGCATTTGTGTATTTGTCAAGTGCAAGCATCCAGCCCAGCAAGAGCTTGGCATTAACATAAAAATCATTTAAATTTCACATTTGGGATGCATATAAGACCTGCTTTCCAGCTTCTCTATGCAGCCATAGAAACTAAAACCTAATTCATCTGAAACAAAGAAAAGCTGATAATCTCATCTAATCACACAATTTTAGAAGCTGGGGGTTTAATATCTTGGCACATATGATAAAGTCATAAGAGAGAGCAACATCGGTGGTGCTAGAGGAACCTGTACCTGGCCACGCAGGTTCCTGAGCACGCTCCCGCCTATGCACAGGGAAGGACACAGATACCCTGCTATACTCCTGTCTCTCTCCCCGCTACATCTCAGCTGCAGCTGTAAGAACCACGGGTCTCTTGGAGCAACTCAAGAGAGCACCTAACCAGTGTGACTGCCCTGGTGACCTTCAGGGCTGCAAGCCAGGGCCTTCTCTGTGCGCCCCATACATGACCGATACAAGCTTCTGCTATAAAGCAGCAAGTTTCTGAGAGATCTCCAGTGGCCTGAAGTTTGGGAGCAGCCATGAGAGTGGAGAGGTGTTAGAAAACAGACTTTTATATGCTAAAAAAAGAGAGAGAGAAAAAAAGGAAAACACAAGAAGAAAGGTGCTGGACCTGTGCTGCCATCCTCAAAGCTGAGGGAAGATGATCACGGTAGTTATAGGTTCCTAGTGACTGATAAAAACAAGAGTGAGGAGAGCTGGGAGACATTCCCAAAGCAGGAAAACTCTCTCCCTATGGCAGCTGTCATACCACATGCATGAGGCCCTTTCTCAAACCATCCTGCCCTGCTGGTAGCATCTTTAAATTACACCCATTAGGTTTTGCTCCCATTCATCTCTGGGCTTAAGAGCCAAGTAGAAGGCCTAGATGATGCCTCCCAGGCACGGCAGGGACTTGCTAACTCTCAAAACAAGGCCTGCAGAGCATCATTCAAGGGAGTATCTCTGGATACTCATAAGCAATCAGAAGGCACAAGCAACCTGAACACCATGGTCACCTACGCTCTGAGAACGCTGTGCTGCAAACCTACAGCTGTGAGGGATTGTCCAAGTCCATGACAGTGAGATGCACAGGAGGAGGAAGGTCTACATGTCTTTCTCTCCCTTGTATAGCTGCTCTTCCCCTGCTTTGCAGTACTGCCCTATTCTTTAGGAAGGCGATAACCCTTAGAGCGTCCTCCCTGCTCACTAATGGGTCGGGCATGTTCACAACACCGTTTTTTACAGTATCTAATCCCTGCTTCCCTGACTAGAGGACTTCACAACTGGGGTCTGCAGCTTATACTGACTGAGGAGCAATAAAGGTTCCATGCTGTCTGTATTGGGTCGCAAGGGCAATGGCTTGGGGCTCACAGGAAACACATCAAAGTGTACTTGAGATAACACAGATTTCACCAACATTTCCATACTATAAGCCACAATAGCTGCAACCAAACCCTCCATGGCCACATGGCCATGAACCACAGGCATCTGCCTGGGCATGGAGATATATGCTGTGTCCACACGAGCCCACTGCAACAAATCAGAGCATTTTTCTGAGTTAGGATCACGGGCGAAGTCCACAACGATTTGGTTGCAGCAAAACCACAGTGTTGTTCATGGCCCCAGGAGCTGTGCTGACAGCGCAGATAGAAACAAGGAGCTACTGTCTCTTGAGCGCGTTGAGCTTGCACACATCATACATGGCTCTCAGGACGGGCAGCCAGAGAGGAATTCCAGCTAGGAGGCCACGCCTGGGAATGCAGAGAGCAGACTGGGAAAAGAAACCGAGAAGGGTAGGTCTTGGCTACAGAGAGCCTCCTCGCACTGCATGGCCAATGCTACAGCTTAAGGAGAGCATCAGTTGGTCGCAGATTCAGCCTCCTCTGCCCCTCCTAGAGGAGCTCATCTTAGCATCTTTTCTTGCCAGAGATGCCAAACCACAAACGATGGGCCAAGGAGAGGACACGTTTGTGCCTCTCAGATGTGCTGCATGACACACGCTGAGCCATTGGCTCAGGTAGGTCCATGTGCCAACTTTCCAAAGGCAGCCAAATCAAACCTTATTTTGCATCTGCCCTTTCCGATTACCTGCCTCCCTTTCCACATAGGAGCTGGAAATTCCCAAAGTCCTGGCCTGTTCCTCCAACAAGAAATCTAACGTACAACATCTTAATAGAGGACAAGTAGTGCACAAAAGATCTCACATGCTGCGTACAGCACAGCTCAGCAGGGAAACGCATGTCTTGGCCCTTTCAAGATCTAGAGCAAAACTGAACCGTTTTCTTCCCTTGGCTCGTGGGACATGTGCACCTTTAACCTCCCCGTTAGTCACGTCCTAGCAGCAGCTCAGTGGTGGAGCCGGGACCAGAATCCAGGTCTGCGACTGTCAGAGTGGGGCAACGCCCACGGCCCCATCCTACCAGGCACGCAGCAAGGGAAACGCAGCCGCGCGGTGCATCCAGCTGATCCCACATCATGGACTAACCTTTCCTTGTCAAATTGTGACAGGAAAAGAGAAAGACAAAAAAAAATAATTAGTCAGCATTGTCCGGCACAGCTCCACCCCTCGCTATTCCCATCGCCTTCAGCAGCTGCTCACTAACAAAGAAGCCAGGACAGCGCTAAAGCATGTCCGCCAGCGCCCCTGCAAACCACGTGCCCGCCCTTCTGCAGAGTCTCTCTGATCTGTTGTGCGAGAAGCCAGCTCCGGGTGCACGCGGCCCGGAGAGCCGTGGGCAGGGGGATGCAGTGCGTGCAGGCAGAGCTGCACTTTACATCTGTGGATGTAACAAGCAGGGAGAGGAAGCGACGTGAGGATGCACGAGGAGAGCAAAGCACAGATCAGACATGGGGATGGGGGCAGGGAGAGGAAATTCTGGCCTTGGCTAAATTCACATAGTTCTGGCCAGGCTCCAGCCACAACAACCAGAGCCCCACACGCCTTCCTCCCGGCAGCCCTGAGCTCCCATCATTTCACCTCGGCAACCTCCAAGCTAGGCCTTTTGCACTACCCATCGCGTAGCTGAGTGGACCAGGCCTTGCTGAGCTGCCCTGATGCGATACAGATTGGGGGTCACCGCGCCGATACAGCTCTGACACCCGTAAGATATATACAGACACGTCTTGTGGCCTCTCAGCAATACGCTGTCAATGCTGACGGCGATGTCAGCCCACGATGAGCCTGCACCACTCAGCTCCTCTGCTCTGCTGCTATGAACAGTAGCAACAATCAGAAAGGGAGCTAAATCCAGAGGCCTGGGCAAGAAGAGCTCTCTCCTCACCCCAACTGGAGCACCCAGAGAAAGGGGAGACAGGGGAAGCGTCAGGGTACAAGGAGACAGGGCCCCCACCAGCTCAGAGGAGAGGTGCAGAGGAGGGAGCGGGGGGTTGATTCTGGCTGAGAGCAGAGCCGTGCGCAAAGCAAGGTGAGAAAAGGACCCTGGTCTTAGCAATACTCCACAAGGCTTGCCCTGGGAGGTGCTACAGCCTAAAGATTGCAGTCCTCAGGCTTAACGCTCACTGTGCGTCACGGAAGGAAAATCCTCTGCCACTACAGCCTTGAGAAGCATGAGCATCACAGAGCCAGGCAATACCTCCCCTTGGGGGGCACACCTGGCTGGATCTGGTTTGTGCAGAAGACTGTGACGCCCTGAATATCTATGCCTCCGGAAGGTCACCGCAGTCACGTCCTGACAGCATTTATGTTTTTTTCCTCTGAAGCAGGCAAAGCTATTTTCAGAATTCCCCACAGAAGGGAAATTCAATTCCTGCCTGCTTTCTATCAAGATGGGAATGACAGCTCCAGAGAAGCTGCTTGTTCAAGTCAATCGGGAGCAGCATCAAGCAGTAAACCTGACATGGGCAGGAGAACCGTCCTCAGCCAGAACCAGGGCAA